TGTATGAGAGTCCTTACAGAGGGTAACAGCAAGTGGGGATACATCTTCCTGTGAGACAGAACACAGTTCACTGTGTTCTTTCTTCATTAATCAGTGGGAACTAGGACTCTTTATTCATGGTCTCCAGCTTCTGTAGTTAAGTAATTAATGCATGTGTTTAGGACTAATTTTATTTTCTCATTATAGAAAGTAGAGCTGGAAAGGAACTCTTGGATCAGCTGATGTATCAATCAGTACTATTGCAAGATTGACCTTTATTTATTAAGATATTTTAATCAGCTTTTGACTTTTAGTCTTGATGTCTCATTTGCCTCCCCTTAAGAGTATCATCATTTAGCATATTGGCAAAGTAGATCCTTGACAAAATACTTTATCATACCTTAATCTTGGAATACATATTTTAGTAATAATTTAAGCATAATTTACTTTTTCTCATTTGTCTTACATTGCTGAACCACAACATATCAACAGTCTCTCTCATTCTTCCCACTTAAAAGACAGAGAAATGTGAAAATCAAATGATAGATCCAGTATGAGAAATAGGAATCAAACTCTGTTTTCTGAATAACACTCCAAGACTTTTGTCTTAGTTCCATTCAATACCAGGAGAAAAATCTAAGTAGTTTATTGCATACATATGTATGTGCTTCCGACAAGCTCATAAAACCAAAAAATAGACATTTTCAAAAGGAGAACCTTACAGTGTCTTCTAAGTTTGTGCCAAAACCCCTTAACTCCTGATCTCACTCTCCCATTTCTTCCCCTCAGTTTCTATTAAAAACTCCAAAATACTTTGTCATTAGAGACCAGGGCTGAAAACCTTTTACCTAAGGAGTGAACAACTCCAAACCAAGGGGAGCAGAAGATCAGTGTCTTACATGACATTCTGTAGGATGATGTAGAGGGGGAAGCCAAAAATCCCCTGGCTGGTGCTGACAGAATTCCATGCACACTGGGCAACAGAGTGCATGACACTGAGAGGCTGCTCAGGAAAGTTCTGGATGTGGCCCAATGACTGCTCAAATATTCCTTGGATGAAACTTCATACTGTTGGCACAGATCCTACAGCAGTGCTATGAACATCCTTCATTCTGGAGTGATTTTATTCTGTTTGTTGCCAAACACAATAAAATCTCCATGTTTATCTTTGTATTTTCTCTTTTTCATCATTATTTATATAGTAGAAATCACAGGAAAATGGTTGTTATTATCAAAAGAAGAAAATTTTGGGGGAAAAGTATAAACAAATCTGTTAGTTTGGCTTCTAGTTGCTGGTTTTTAGATGAAATATATCTGGTGCTACTTGTCTGCTGTTCTTTTACTCAGAACTACTTGGAGCTCAGTGTGGAGGTGATAACTGAAGGGAAATAGGTTGTAATTGAACAAGGAAATTAACAAGTGGATCTAATTGCAGTGGTGCTACGCTAGATGAGCCACTTACAGTTGAAGCTCAAAGAGAGCATGTGAGCTCTTCACAGCTGTGGCAAAACTTTGTTCTTGGCTGGCATGGCAGGGAATCATGTTTTGAAGCTGGAAATGAGGGCCAGGAGTTCCCAGCCTGGAATTTATGATTGTAGGCTTCAATAAAGTGTCTGGTTTTGCCTTTGGAAAGGGGGATACCTTAATACTTCTTATTTTGAGGCAAGATGATAAACCCTTTAACATAGTTCCAGGTTCCTCTGTCTATAGCAATCTATCACAGATCCCTCTCCAATGAGTTTCTTGGATATTTCCCTTCTCAAATGGGAATTCAAGTGGTTGAATTTGCTCTGAATTCATCATCACCTTAAGTGCTTTGACTAAAAAGCCACACACCAAAGCAGCAGGAGTCTGAAGTGGGTGACTCTGGACTCTTTGGATAAGAAGGAAGGGAGGGGATGAGCACCATGAAGAGAAGCACCAGTCTGAAAATGGGAAGAGACTAACAGAAATCTTGCTTTTCGTTTTTGAAAGTATTTTTGTTATTGTAATGTACACCCTAACTGAAATGAAAATGAGCATACACTGACTTTTTATATATCAGGAGGAGTTGGGGGTACATAACTTTACAAAAAGGGACTATATGATTATATTGGACAGAGAACATGGGTATATTGTATTCTTTCTGCATTTGTACTCTTTCTTACTACCAGAGCTGCTGGTAATTCCTGTATGTGTTGTAGATATCTGGGAAAACTTAAATTTTGGTCTCTATATTCATACTGATGTACCTAATTTTGCACAAGTTGGCCTGAATGTTTGTGAGTGCATGCCATGGAAACTACATGCTGACAAGCAGGGTATTGCAATTTTGCAGCAGTTTGCATGTTCACTGAATCCTGAGTTATTTTCTTTTTAAAGGATGACAGCTGATGAGCATTCTGTCCTGTCATCCCTCCATGGGGCAGGTGAGCTCCTGTCACTCAGCTCCACATACAGCTTTTGCAGAAGCTTTCCTCTTGCAGCAGCGATCCATCCCATGGGTAAGCTATTCCTGTTTGGGAAAGAGGATTCTCTAGCTAAAGGTGTGCAAATCTCTGTGCAACACTACTTTTAAAAATTTTATTTATTTTACTGAAAGCTGCTTTATCACCAAGAAATAATATTCCCTTACTTGCTGTCTTTAAGCCTGTTTATTTTGCAGTGCCTGCAGCTCAGATGTGTGGAGCCAGCCTTCAACAACCTGGAGAGTAAGGAAGGTAGAAAGTGTCAACCAGCTGGAAAGTTCTGGTTCATGGTTACTTGTTTTAAGGGTTTTGACTTCACATCGTAGGAGCAGCTTGGGAAGCTGAGGGTAGAATTGTCTATATCCATATCTTATCTCTTTGTTTATATGGGAGATATGCTAGTGGTATTTGCCCAGAGCAGTAGTTTCGCATCCTGACCATTTCCAAGAGATGCATGGATACTCTGCCTGTGAACTGATGCTGATGAGTATTCTCCACTATCCCTTAGTCTGAAAGGGGGCAAGGGGATGTGGTTTATGGGGTAAGTGTCAAAGCACTCGCGTATTCAGTGCACAGGGGTACAGACCATTGCCACTGCTGTGTTCTGCTGGGTCTCCTCAGGACTGAGGCTGTGCCTGGTGGTAACACTGCAGGTGGGTAAATGCTGGGGGGCTCAGGGGCATTTAGACTTGCCCTGCTGTTGCTTAGCAAAAGCTTTTTGTGACAAGAATGTCCTTTTTAGAGGCCAAGTTGACTCCTTTTCACTTAATTGGAAAGACAGTTTAAAAAGTGGTGATCATTAGGCTTGATTGTGAAGGGCAGAGTGGGGCAGGTCCCTTTTTGTTGAGTTCTGGTTTGTTTTGAAGCCAATGGTGTGGTATGTTTCTGTGTTTAATCCAAGGAAATTGAGCTGCTGAATGATTTTTTCTGACGTGCTGAGGACCAAATGTTCTGGCAAGGGTTTGTGCCAGCAATGTGAGAGGTGAGGAGGCTCCAGAAGCTGTTTTTTGCTCACAAGGTGCCAAAACAGATGCATTTCTTTGATACAAGTAGTGTTGGGTACATGAGATCTATATGGTATAGACAAATCAGACATAGTGGTGATGCCAAAAGCACTTGTGGCATAGCTGTGAATTCCCTTCTGACAAGTATTTTGATTTCCAAATGCAGATGAATAATATCCTTACAGGAAAGGGTCCCAGGGATAGTCCTTGAAGCTGATGTCCTCAGTTTACCTGCAGGACAGATGCACAGGTGCAATTGCAAGTGACACAGACTTTCCTTAACTCACAACATTAGTAGGCCCCATCCAGGTCTAGAATTGTATCTGGAATTCAATCTTCAAGTCCATTTATCTTTGGGCTGAGTGTGCTGACTGCAATCCAGCAAGCAGGGGCCACTGTACAGGTGTACAGATAATGGTTCTTCTGGACCAGCACTGAGACAAGCTATTTTCACACAACACTGGCTGCCAAACAGCAATCTAGTGGTGAAAAGCTCCTGATACCTCTGCTATTATTAGAAGCAGCCCACAAAATTACAAAGGTGGTAGATGAGCTGAAGGCAGAATCCTGCTCTGGGGGACAGTCAGTGAAACTAGCAGGGGATCAATTTGAAACAGATAAAAGAAAGTACTTCTTTAGCAGTCAGTAGTGAGCTTCAGGAACTTGCTGCCATGCAGTGCTGGAGAAGCTGACAGTATCAGCAGGTTTAGAAGGGATTAGGCAGATTCAGGGACAACAGGCCCATTAAAAAGATAAGGCAGGGACTTGCCCTCTGTGGTATCTATCCCATCACGTACTCAGCTGGGATGCCAGGGGAGCACAAGGGGAAGGGGCTGCAGAAATAAGCCAGGCTTGCACACACTTACTAAAAAACATCTCCATTCCTGCAAATGTGTGATAAATTACTGGTCCAAGCCATTTTCATGTACTTAATCTAGAAATGAGTTTTATCCCCAAAGCGTTGCACGAGTATTCCGTTACTGCAGCAGCCTAGATTCCCATGAGCTGACTCATGAGCTCAAAGCAGCACATTCCAGGAGGAACTGGAATTCTTCTTCAATCCAGGCTCTGATCCTCAGCCCACCAGTTCCTTGCTGTATGGGCAGTCCCATACACAGGTCACTGCCACCCCCAGCACTGCCCCCTTGCTGGACACTGTGCTAACACATTTGCCATATTACAGACATCCGTATTACACTGCAAAATCCTAAAGCAACCAAGTGAGCAAATCTTGCATGGGGTACAGGAAAAGATGGAGACAGTGAAAATTAAATGCTAATGAAATACTGTACAAGTGAGTAACACAATAACATCCCATCTACAGCTCTAAAAGCTAAGGATAATTCATGCATAGGGCAGAAATTACATCAAATTTGAGCTTTCTCATATTTTTGGAGGCTGAAATGCAAAACTTCCTTCACCCCTTGCATTTATTCTTTCCCAGCAATGTAGGAAGTAAGCCAGCATGCCAACTTTTAAGCATAACATAAAAAGAAATTGAAACTGATTATTGTTTTTAAACAATTGCCCTTGAGGCCACCCAACAATAGTGTTTCTAAAGCAGTCCTACCTTTGTTTTCCAACTTGAGCTCCTCTGCTAGCAAGCTGTCTTGTCTGTTTCCAAGCACAAATGCCAGAAATGAGAGGATCAGGGCATCCAAGATTCCAATAATTGCCAGGATATATGCCCAGCGGACTGAACAAGCCCCCAGCGTGTACTTGTCTGTCTTTTCACCACACATCCGTTTTACCTCATCTGAATCCCAGCCATCAGGAAAAATCATACAACCCAGGACGAGACAGGCAGCTTGGAGAAAAGAGAAAAGGAGAACAATGGGATAATGAGACCAAGCTTTCATTTTGTTGAGAACCTACAAAGTTATATCATATAAGTTATTTTTCATCCTGAACTCCAAAGCTAGGCTACTTGAAAAAAACAAGTCACACAATTACATGTTGTGTTAAAGTATTTAATATAAAAACCTAAGATGCAACATCAATTGCACACCTTGCTTAAAAAGCTGTTACATCCTGGATCCCTGGTCAGGTTTTGCATCAGTACAATAACATTTTCCTTGTGGGACTAATTTCTTCAATGCAATATGAAAGGACCACACAAAACCAAAAGGGAAAAAGGTTAATAACCTGGATATTCAAAGGTAACACTAGGTTACTGTCAAGTCATCAGGCAAACAACCAGTTTAAAAGAGAGGAAAAAAACTACCTATCCTTCTTGGCAATCTGCCCTTTTATCGTAACCATAAACACTGGACTTTCTCACTATCCACCCAAAGACAGAGCTTGATTCATTCCAAGTGTTGCCTCACAGAGGGAAACTCCACCCCAGTGCCTGCCTGGTCTGTCCTGAGCTCTGTGGAGCCCTTCAGGATGACATTGCAGTCATGGGAGCTGTCCCTTCATATCTCTCATTGCGATGAGAGCAAAGCCCTGGCACTGCACACAGATCCCTTGTTCCTCCTGTTTGTCCTCTACACTGCAATCACTGGTGTACAGGACTTTATGGAAGTATTTGATCATGTCAGACTCCTAGCAAGGATGGAAAGGGATCTCCCACAGTCCTGTCTGTGATTGTGTCTCTGGCTGCTTGTGATTTGAGATGCTCTCTCTCTTAAGCCTTCTTTTGTTACTGGGATGGTTTATATAGTTCTTCCTATATCCTATGTCTGTCAAGCCTGGCTATGTCCCCATTCTCCTTCAAATCCACTTTAAAACTCTCTCAATGAGTTCTGCTAACTCCTGACAAAAAATTCTTTAGGACAGGTGGGCCTTATTTGTAGCCAGCAGGCTTGGTGTTGTACAAACTGACCTATGACCAAAAATCTCCAAATTTTTCTGGTAATGCCTGTCTTGAAGCCAGGTAGGGTCACCTTCAAAAGGAGAGGATAGCATACAAAAATAAAATAGCATAAGAAAATTCTAAAAATAATGATTATGTTGAATGGGTTCATTCTTCAGTTTTTATTGCATCTAAGAGAATCAGAAAATCCATACGCTTTCAGTTACCTCATCAATTACCTTTAGTGACTGGGAAATACCTTTCAGTTACTCATAGTGACTTGGAAACAGGCACATTTCCATCATTAGCCCTTCTATCTTTGCATGGCTGATGAGATACAATGGATCCTAAACCTTCTTTTATAAGTCTTAATATTGTATTATATGCTCAAAATTGCAGGTGACTGTGCTAATTGAAAAGAATGCGTTGTGTGGCTTTCAGCCTTTTAAGTTTTTGTTGAGTCAGACCTCTGTTGGGAAATGACAGTTTATACACCAAGTAGCTTGTGCAGCCAACAGCTGCTGTCACTGTGGGATTGGTTTCCTGTCGTTGTGACAGGTTTCTTGTCTTTCCTGGACAAGCACAGGCACTATCACTTCACAGACCTCTAATGCCCACAAAATAAAAACAGACTTACAGTGGATCAATATGATGAAATACTGGAAGAGGGATGTGTAAAGAGAGTTCAGGAATGGTAGTTTCCTTTTGACAGCTACAAAATTGCAGTAGACAATGTCCTGAAAACATGTCTGCAGAAAATGCACCCAAGGTGTTTGACGAGTTCCCCCTGAACAGCCAATTTGTGTGAAAATAAAACAGCTTACAATACTTTCAAGGACAGTTAGGCTTAGAAACATGGAAGATTAGATAATGACCAGTCTACTCAGAACATGAAGGTTGGACAAATTGTAAATTACATATTGTCTGCCTTAACTCATTTACACAATTACATAACAGCTTTCAAAGGCCTTAGAGACAAACAGTGCAATAATTTATTTTCTTGAACTGGTTACACACAGTTCCAAAAAATGGAGTTTCCCTCACATTTGTTTCCCTCATACTTGAAAAGAACTCCACTCAAACAATGCAGTAAATCTGCAAACTTCTTGTGTTCGTGAAAATGTCCATATTTACCCAGCTAACTGTTGGCAAAGTTACATTTACTATATAACAGGAAATACCAAAGCAAGTTTACTTTTATTAATCATCCTCAACATGTGAAAAAGCTTAATGCTCAGTTAACGATCAATAGATGTGGAATTTTTCTGCTAATTGTGCATGAATAATTATCAAATACCAACAATTCTGTCGATTTTTTTATTATACAGCACATCAGACACATTCTTAGTACTTCCTAAAAGTAATTTAACTTTGTTCTTTTGCACATAGGTAATTAAAAAAATGGACCCTTATCTCAGGAATTCAGTGTACAGCTTCCCAGCTGTGCTCCTCAGATTTCCAATTAACTCATCTTTCCTGAATTCTGTTCCTGCATTCTTTGATATACTTGCTTAAATTTCTGGAGTCATTCTGTTGGTTGCAGTTGGACTTCTCTTGGTAATAAGACACATGGGTAAATAATGTCTGGACTAGATTCCTTTGCATAAAGACAGATATCAAGGAGGGGTTATTAGTATTTTCTCTTTTCCCTATACAGTTAAGATGCTTTCTATTAGATGACTACTTAGTCAACATCTTCAGGTGCAGGAATCATACCTTACCTGTAGAGGGTAACATAAGTAAGATTAGTCAACCTTGAGTCATTTTTTTGTTGAGGGAATATTTTGCACTGAATGCCTTTAAGAGCACAGACTTGCTCAATAAGATAAACAAGTAATGGTTCTTTTATCAGCTACAAGATTGAAAAGACAGATATGAAATCCACCAACAGATCTACTTTGCATTGCTAGAAATTTTTACATTTGAATTCTGCTACAGAGGATTAGAAGGCTTTTCTCTACAAGGAAATTACTTTCAGTTTTATACAAATTTGTGAAATGGAAATAATTTTATGTAATTTCAGTGAAAATGCTAAGAGATGATTTTATAACACTGACATGGCTCCCATCTCTTTGTCCAACTTCCACTGTCTGTAATGGCAATGTTACTGAAATGGAAATGCAACAAAAGCTACCACAGTTCTACTGCTAAGTAGTAATGGTGTTTGGATTTGAAAAGTTCACTGACTTAATAAAAACTCTTAAACCATCAGTTCCTACAGACTCTTTGACTCAAGTAAGGAAAAAGTTAAATCTGAATTGGTTGGAAGCAGACTTCTGTGTGAGATCTGGGTACATCAGGTCAGCACCACCCTCCTGACAGACAGCCCAGCCTGGGACCCCTCTAACCAAGGGCCTTCATGATAAGCAGCAGGGGAACTGATAAATGAGTGACTCGTGTGACTGACACCATTCAGAACCATTTGGGCAGCTGTAAAACTTACAAGAATCACATCCACAGGTTTTCCCTTTGACTGCTTGAGAAAGCTCCTGGCAGGATTATTCTCTTTGTAAGGGTGGCCCTGGCTTTCCTCCATTTCTTCCTCTGCTGTGATGACAAGGTGACTCTCTTGTGTTGGAAGGGACTTTAAAGACCATTTAATTCACCCACCATGTTGGTCAGAGCCCATCCAATCCAGCCTTAAACATTTCCAGAGATGGTATCTGCAAGTTCTCTGGGCAACCTCTTCCAGTGCCTCACCACCCAAACTGTTCCTTTCTCCCACATGTTGGAGTCTGGTGGAGCTTTTAAAACTTTCAAAAAATGATTAATAAAAGTACTTAAAAATGCCTTATATGTTTGCTTTTCTTCTTAAACAGTTTTTTCTCGTGTGAACAGCTAACAGGAACTGTCACATGGTTTTCCTCTAGGGCTGTGAGTGACAAGACAAATTATTCATACTAGGAGAGAGAGCCAGGATTTTTACCTCGTGGGATGAAAGGATGCAGATACAACACTTCCAGAGATTGGAAACAGACAGTGAATTGTTGCTGGCACTGACAGACTTGTGACTCTGACCAAGCTAATATTATCACAGACTGTGCTCTGTGCATGAGCTCAAATGGTAATTAGCAAACAAGCAGTTCACTATCCTATGGTTGTGCCAAACACAGTGACAGATTAATATTATATCATTGCATGAAATGAGGTTCTATTTATAAAAAAGCTGACTGCTATGCAGGAAACCAGTGCTGAGAAATTCCCACTGGCAGGACTCCTCTCTCATCTTCATTCTTTTCCTGACAACAGACCAAATTTGCTTGCCTGTAGAGTATGAGGATGGCAAGTTTCCTGATAAAGGAATAAAAAAAATGGAATGGGAATTATGCTGACCATCTCTTTTCTTTCCATGCCCTCACATGCAAGAGTCTTCAAACCTCTCTGGTTCCAAACTGCAAGAGGTTTTCTGTTTCCTTATTTTACCCCCCCAAAATTGTATTTACAAACAGTGACCCATTAAATCTCCAATAAACTGAATAGAGATTTTGTCAGTCATGTTGGTGATTAGGATTAGTCTCTCAGGAGCTTGTAGCTGGGAAAAAAGGAAATGCTGAGTGGAAAAAGGGAAAGTGGGAATAAAGGAAATGCTGAGTGGAGTTGGCTGAAGACACAGGGTCAAACACAATCCTGAGTGAAGACAGAAGCTACACACCCATCAACTGAGATTGATCCAGGTGATGTGGACTGCACTTCTAAGTGGGACAATAATCCTCTGTGTTTATATTTATGTCATGGCCTGGAGGAAATGTGCAATTTTGAAGTGAATGCCATCATTCTCTCCATTTACTGATGCCATCCACAGAAATAGTTCTGCTGCATGCAATCAGAGTATTTCTGGAGGAGCCTAGAAGTTCA